CCCTATTTCAGTTCTTCCAGTTTTTTAAAAACTTTAAAAAAAAAAAGTATAATCGAATCTACTTTTATCTTACTGAAAATGATATACTATACCATTTTCAATATAAAATATCATATGAAACTATATCATACCGAATAAAATGAAACTATATCATACCAGATCTCTTATTGGAAATTTTATTTTATTTTATTTTTTATTTTTTTTTATTTTTTGCCGTTTAATATTACGATAGCTAAATATATTTTACAATTTTTTACATTAGTAACGACAGGACTTCTAGAAGATCATGAGGATCTATTCATGAAGCCCTTTACAATATATGGTTAACTTTTAATAAAAATACAATGTCTGTTGTGAAATAATAATACACCTTTATGCAAAAATATTTAAAAACCAAGATAAAATGTTAAAAAGCCAAGATAAAATTTTAAACCAAATAATATACAAAATAAAACAACAACAAAAACAAACAAAAAAAAAAGGCAATTAAAAATAAATCAAGATATTTTCAAGTAAAAATATAATTTTTTTAAGTTTCTGTTTGAATGAAGCAAAAGTCAGTTGGGTTGAAAAATCAAAATTTGGTAAGACTATTTTGTTCCAGAGATAAGGACCTCGGTAAGAAACAAGAAACGGGCTAAAAACAAAGACCATTTTGGTCTTTGTTTTTACGACAAAAAGGGGCAATAAGACTGTTATTAATTCGAAAATTATATTTGTTTTTAGATTTCATACAATAAAAATTTTGTAATACATTTGGCGACAAATTTTCTCTACATTTAAACATAAAATATTAAAGACATTTAGTTGATACACATTTAAAATATTCATTTCTTTAAAAAGTTGTTTAGTGTGAAAAAACCGATTTTAAAATTTATTACGCGAGTTGCGTGTTTCTGATGAAGGTAAAGAGATTTTAGCTTTGTTCTGTGAGTGCTTCCCCATATAATATTCGCGTAGTTTATATGACAATGTATAAATGAATAATATAATTGTGTTAACTGGTGTTTACTTAATATACTTCTTGCTTTATAGAGAATTCCGATCCATTTAGCAATTTTATTGGAAGTATTATTATTATGATTTCTCCAAGATAAGTTTTCATCAATATATACTCCAAGAAATTTAGTAACTTTTTCTCTTTTTATTATTATATTATCAATTAGAAGGTCTGGCATGATATGGGGCAGTTTCTGGTATTTTAAAGGTGGATAAAAAAGTGTCCATTTAGTTTTTTTTTATATTTAGAGACAATCTATTTTGTTTAAACCAAACAGAAACTTTTTTTTAAATCATTTGTCATATTTGTAAAAAGCATATTATTATCTTTATGAGACAAAAAACAAATTTGTGTCATCTGCAAAATTTATTGTTGTTAAATTTGATGATTTATGAAGATCATTTATGTATATTAAAAAAATAAGAGGACCAAGTATGGATCCTTGTGGAACACCACATGTTATATTTATTAATAGATGAGATATAGAATCTTTATTGTAAACAAACTGTTTACGGTTAGTAAGATAACTTTCAAACCATAATAGGGTTTTATCTTTAATACCATATGATATTAGTTTTTTTTAACAGGATTTGATGATTGACGGTATCAAATGCCTTTTAACAAATCAATAAACACTCCTAGTGTAAAACAAGAGTCTTTAAATGAGTCGGTTATATTGCGCGTAGGTTAAAGAATGGCATGCTCGGTTGAATTATTTTTTTTGAAACCAAATTGGTTTTCGTATAGAATTTTATTTTCAACAAGATAAGAGTAGATTCGGTTGTACATTATTCTTTCTAAAATTTTTGAAAAAACTGGAAGAACTGAAATAGGGCGATAATTTGTTATATTTGTACGATCCCCTGTCTTGAAGATTGGAGTTACTTTTGCTATTTTTAGCTTATCTGGAAAAGACCCTTGTAAAATGGATGCTCTGAAGATTTTATAAAGAATATCTTTTATAGCATCGTATGAATCAATCACAATATTTGTGTTAATATCATCATACCCAGTAGCTTTATTTCGTTTTAATGACTTAAAAGCAACCTCAAATTCATTAAAAGCTAACTCAGTAAAATTTAGATTAGAACTTATTGATGTTTCGAACTCGTCAACAGATTTATCTTTAATGAATGAAATACTATCGCTTAATTTTGTCCCGACAGTGGAGAAAAACTTGTTAAATTCAAATGCAAAATCATTTGGGTCATTTATTAATTTGTTTTCAATTTGTATAAAATTTGGGAGTAAATTTTTATTTGGTTTAAGTTTTCCAGACACCTCCTTCATGATTTGCCAGACGCGTTTTGAGTTGTGCTTATATTTATTAAGCAAGTTTGAATAGTAGCTTTTTTTTTTGCATTTTTGCGAAGCTTTTCAAATAAGTTTTTATAAGTTTTGTAATTTTGTTTATGTTTTTCTGATTTTGATTTTAGGTATTTAATGTATAGCTTCTGCTTAATTTTTGATGATTTTCTGATACCTTTAGTAATTCAGGGAGATGACATTTCTTTATCGCTTAAAACTTTTTTTTTTTTTCCATATATTTTTTACAACTACATAGCTTTAACAATACATACTTTTATTACAAATAGTTTTAACAATATATACTTTTATTACAAATACAGTCAAAATGCTTTGAAAATAACTGAAATAATACTAAGATATATTTGATGTACAAAGTAATAAAATAATGTAAAATAGTTTTTCAGTTTTTAGTTTGAAAAGACAAAAAAAGTCTTAAAAAAGGAAAAGTTTAGTTATGTAGTCAAGGGAAACTCGCAGAAAACTGTGTAAAGTCTTGTCATCGAGAACCCTTTTTTTTAAACAATTTCATGAGATACTCATAAATACTTTTTTCATTCATTCATTACTTATTACATTTTTCAATATAATTAGTCGTGTTTTTAGGAAGGAGCATAACATAAACATAACATATATACATATACAGGCGCGGATCCAGGAATTTGTAACTTTGTGGCCAAGTCCGGGTTCGCGGATGGCGCGAACAGCTAATTTTTTTTTTATTGAGTGATTAGGGGGGGGGGGGGGGAAGTGCCATAAACGATAAACAACAAAAAAAAAAGGTTAAAATTTAAATTTTTTCCATTTGCCGACATTAAAATGTCAAAATTTGCCAACTATATTTAAAATTGCGAAATACAATTCGATATTGGCCAGTGGAGGAAGAGGGGATGACATTACCCTATTCCTTTTTCCCATTTTAAGATAAATTTCTTTACTTTTGTTTTTTTCTGTGACCGATGAAGTAATCCCACGGACTCATTATGTATCATTTTTTTAAACTCTAATACGTAGGGAGACTAACCTACTTTACTTAACTACTCTAGATTTAATAATCTGAGAGCGCCATTATTACAATAAGTATAATAGTTTTCACGCTTGAGACTAAAAACTTTGTTGTTCTGTTGTAGACGAACTGAGCGACGAATTCGTCTTCGACGAATTTTTATATAAGGAATCAATTAATAAAATTAATAAGAGATCATTCATATTATATACATAGCCTTACAAAAATTATATCATATTTTAATCTTATTCAGTAGAAATAGCTTTCTGTATGAATAAAAAAAACACTTAATTTTGATATTTCTCATTAGAAATAAACTCTCTAAACAATTGTGTAATTCAAAAACGCATACATTTTTAAAATTTTTAATTATTACATAAAATATTAAAATGCATTATAGGTAAAAAAATATTATATATGAGGAGTCGACTTGTATATCAGATATTTCACTTTTTACTTGTAATTGAAATCTATTTACTTCGTGTTTGTTTGTCAATATTCTGCTAATGCAAAGTTATTCTAAACAATCGAGTCAATCGTGGTAAAGTTTATTTTGTATTGTTTTTAGTTATCCATTTAATAATAAAGTTATTCAAAATATTGCCTTGGCTATTTAGTTCATAAATTAGACATAGTACTTGTCTAAACCACTTAACGAAGTGCACCAACGAGAAGGTAAGCCATAGGACTTTGCACTCCATCAGTAAACTGTCGTGTTGCGTAAGGTTAGCCCACTATTTCTGGATTTTATTTTTTTTTGTGATAGGCAGTTATGTACAAATATTTTTAAAACATTAAAAAAAAATTTTTTACTTTTTTTTTTTAAATAAATTTTAATAAATAAACAAGACAAAATATAACACAACAAATAAAGTAACAATCAAAAAAGTAACAACCTAAATCACATGAAAACACTTTCAACATTAGGAATTAAAAGAAATAGCAAATGAAGTATGAGTTTCACAGTTTATATAAAACAATGAATAGTAATAATTTGCTAATAAAAAATGATTTTCACAGTTTACATGTTTAAAACAATGACTAGAAATATTTTGCTATTGAGAAATTATTTACATTTACGAGATACTTTTAAAACAGTACTTAAATTTTTTACTCAGAAATTCAAAATTTTTATTTGAATAAAAACTTTAATTTTTTGTCTCCTTTGGATGCAAATATTTCAATAAAATTAAATAGACATTAAAGTAAGTCCATTCAATCTATTTTCTGACATCTCGTACTCTCGTGTAAGTTTTTATTCTCCTAAGAATAGATAGTGACCTTTCACACTCACAAGTTGTGATTGGTATTGTAGCAAGTATATGAAATGCCTCTAAAATGTTTGGAAAGCCTCTCATATCCCTAAACTTAAATGTATCTGAAATAGTAGATGGTAATTCTGTCTTTTCATTCCAAAATTTCCACCCATAACTCTAATTCAGCATTAATTGATGAGAAATGAGGAAGATCAAATTTACAAAAATTCAAAAATATCAGGAACTTTTCTTTCCATAGACAATATCTAAAAATTTACTTTATTAAACTAGCAGGAATAGCACAAAGACCACTATAATCAATTAAGCTCTCAATATCAAACCTATTTTGTTTATATATATAGTTCATTAAGAAGATGATTAAGAAGAGGCAATGTAATAGAAACTTTAAACTATCAGATACAGTATCACATATTTAATTATCTATATGCTTTTGAACACCACATATTCTAGGTTTTTTTTCATCAATATCAAATGTTTTAGCTAATGCAAGAGCAATTTTATACCATTTGTTAAGGTAAGCATCAGCATTTCTTCGTATTTCTTTTAAAAGATTAGTCAAATTTTGAATTTCATCCAGTTGCTGGGAAATATCAAAAGATTTATTTTCAAGGGTGACACTGAAGCCTAGTGTGCAATAATGAATAAGTACTTACTTTTTTTAATATCATTTAATAGAATTTCTTCAATTGCATTTCCACAACACTTAATTAACTCGTTTTGAATGGTCTTTGAAATGTATGTAGAATTTTTGGGAGCAGAGAGAAGATTACTTTAGAATTAAATCACTTGCATCAACTCTAAAGTTTAAAAGCTCAATAAAATTACCCATCCCTGTAATATTTGAAGTTTCTCCAATTTCTCATTGATATTTTCTATTGTCTCTTTGACCTTGTAGAGGTATATCATTTCGACCTAAAAATATTATAGTCTTAACAATTGATTCAAGCTTTTTTTTGTTTTCTTCTATATGCTACTTCCTAGAAATATCTTGAAAAACTTCAATAGTAAAAGTGTTACTTTTAGTTCTAGATAAAAGCATATTATAACAATGTATAGATTGCTATGTAATCTGTCAACAGTTTTCTCATGATCATTTAAATCTTTTATAGCATTACGTCAGGTATTGAATGGTTTTTTAAACAATTTACATAATGCATATTTGTTTGGTATGTTTGTACTAAAAAGTGTATATGGAAGACAATATGCACCATCTTCAATTTTAAAGTAAAATTTTAAAGTAAGCAAAGAAAAGTCAACTAATCATTTTAGCAGAAAATGTCTTTTTCTGCTTTTACCTGTTAAAGGGAATTGGAAGCATTTATATGGAACTTAGACTATTTATTAGAGACATTTCATTATCATTTGTTCCTGAATTTAATTTTTCACCACACAGGTGATATGATGAATCATCATAGTTTAAATAAGAAGCTAACTGATGTGTATTTAATAAACAATGTCAAAAACATTGTTTTCCTTTAGTGGAACATTAGATTCAAGAGTGTTTTTATCATTGTTGTTGGCATCTTTTGAGATAAATATTTTAGTTTTAACTGTTTTATAACAAATATCAGACTTATCTGAAGTGTTCTTAGAAACAGTAGGAAAGAATAATTTAGACTGAATTGGTTTATGTATTTTGTTATTTGTAGGTGGAAAACTAGACTTAAAATTTATATTTTTTTATCCGGAGTAAATTTGAATCACTTATAACAACAGCTGGTCGTTTTTGGGAAGATATTTAACCAGTGCCACAAAATAATTTGGCTTAAAGCATAAAACACTTTTATTTTTTGTTTTATCTAAATTGCACAACAAAATATTAATTGGACAATTTAATTTTTGGATGCAAGGCTTTATAAGGGTATTAAAAAAATTATGATTTACGATTACTTTTTGAAACCAATATCAGCATAGATAGGTTTAATAGGTTGCTTTATAACATTATATAATGCTATTAGGCAAAGGAAAAATGACATTCAGAAATAATATTATCGTTGATTGTTGAAAAACTGTCAGTGTATTTAAGCGAAACAGCAATAAAAAGCAAATTTAGAAAGCTGAGAATTCTAAATCTATGTTAAAAAAAAAATAATCATACTATGTGTAAAAATTTAAGCTTTCAAATAATTCAATTAATGTCAGTAATCTTAGAATTTTTGAAGTATGCTTACTGTCATTTAAAATCAAAGATACTGAGCTATAAAGAAGAAAAAGGCATGGAATCCGTTTTTCTGCTTTAAATATTATTTACTGGTCACGTGATGTAAACAATTATTAAATTCCAGTTTAGCGGGCTACAAAATATTTAAAAATTTAAAGATATTTTAAATTTAGATATTAAAATTAGTACGTACGCACTAATTTTAATATCTGAATATTTTTATGTGTATTACTCTAGTTATGTCACTTTATAAATTTGCTTTTCAATTTTTTACTTATTTTATGTTTCAAAGGTTCTCGATGACAAGCAGGGCCGTACCTAAGAGAGTTTAAAGGAGGGGGGGGGGAGGTGACATTTGTATTTTTGCCGACTAAAGTACAGTTAAGGTTTAAAAATAAAATAAAAAATAGTTCCTCAGTTTTAAAAATTTGCCGACTGCAGGTCTAAGTTTGCCGACTAGGGCTATTTTGCCGACTGGTAAAAATCATCGGTGGGTTATTCACACCTCTACGCCCCCCTCCCCACCTAGGGACGGCCCTGATGACAAGACTTCTTCAAGTCGTTTGCGAGTTTCCTTACAACATCATAAATGTGTAGTACGATATACCGTAAAACCCCCTAATCCCGGATGGTTTATGACTTAAATCGACATAACTCGCTCATTATAAAAGATTTTGAAATAATTTTTTTAAATAAATAAACTTCATAACAAGCCGAATCGAACAATATAAAAAAACTTCATTTTTGTAATTTAAATCTATATTTTATTTTAACTTTAAAAAGCATAGTTTTTATCTGGAATTAGGTGTCTATGTCCCTAATTCCGGATGCGTATAAAATATAGAAAAACACACACATAATTAATGCTAACAATGAATAATTTAAGTTATCCTGTTAACAAAATGGAATTGTTTTAACTAAAAAAGGAAATATATTATTATACTATTATTTCTATTACTATTATATAATTATATATTTATCTATTATTTGTTTTTTTACTATTATTAATATTATTTTTATTTTGTTGCATTCGTTAAAAATAATTTTCCATAGTTAGACGATGATCAACAACACATGCAACGCATGAAAAATAGAACATTGCTAACATTTTTTTTTAAAGTTATTTAGGTCCACTAAGAAGTCCTAATGGTCTTGTCACAGAGCACCGCCACATGGAGAATAACATTTATTAAGCTGGATCTCCGTTTCTAACTTCACCGATAACATATTAAGTGCTTCGAGCGGGATCGAACCCGCAACCCATGGGTTACAAGTCCAATGCTCTAACCACTGCGCCACGGTTGTTTCAGCTGCTCACATCTAAGCTATTCACACAAAAAAATAAAAAATAAAAAAATTTGACAACCATTCGATACCAAAACACTATTTGATATTTGAGGTAAACGAGGGTCATCTGTTTAATCTTTGGTTTCAACCTTTTATTACCTGGTGGTTTAGCGGACTGGCTTTGTTACAACTTTTTTTTTGTTCTCTTTTCAATAGAAACGATAATATAATTTTTTTTTAAACTAAAATGATTAGCATAAAATTCTGCACAAAATAGTGTTTTTAATTTTTTTATTGCAAGTCTAAGTTATTTTTTCCCTTTTTTTTGCTTATTTAGTTTTGAGAGATTTCAAATTAAAGTCTTTCATGATTGCATTGTTTTATATAATTTATTTTTTATATTGTTCGATTTGTCTGGTAAAGATGTTTATTAATTAGAAAAAATTATTCTTAAATTCATTATATTAGGCAAGTTATGAGATTTTTTACTTAAACCATCCGGAATTAGATTACATCCGGAATTAGGGGGTTTTATGGTATTGTTTATCCAAATAATATTATCAAATTATATTATCATACGATATATTTAAAACATATATATGATTATATATATTGTATGATAATATAATTTGATAATATAATTTATATACAAGTGTTTAAAAGTATATACTTTATATTACAATGTATATAAATCATATTTTGAATTAAACACGTTGTGTTTGACAATATATTTTAAACGATGTATTTATATATACATTTATTTTTGTTTTCACTTTAACTATAAATTATGTCAAGAAATGGAATTGTAACAATAGTTTATAAATTGTAAAAAATCATAAAGAAAAAACAAAAAAAAATCAGAGCAAAGTGAACACAAAAATAACATAATAATAGAAATAACAATAATAGCAACAAATTGTCATTGAATATGAAATACTATTTTAAGCAACTTTTAGAGATTTGAAAATTAAAATTAATTACTAAATTTAAAAATATAATTATAATATACCGCAAAATATTGACATATCAAAGTTGTTTCTTCACGTCCGATAGTTTTACCTATTAGTTTAAAACCTGCTTAACCACAGGTAGACAAGGTGATACAAAACTTTATAAAAAGAGCGATAAGACCTTTATTTTGGGATTTCAGGTAAAAAAATTTATAAGCATTTAAGTGAAAAATAGTATAAATTTCTTTTGGTCCAAAATCTTTTTGCATCTTCCTCGACTGATGTGCAACAACTTTTTATTGCGAAATGTGTTACCGTTATAATTCTTTAACCTTTACGCATTAGATGTTTTGTAATGCGATGCCTAGCTTTCAAGAGATTGAAAATATGGGCATGATGGGCATTACTTGTCCATCTCCAATAACTACAGCAGAAGATAGGTTTGGGTACCAATCTGAAATGAAAATATCGTGTCGTATAAATTACCATTGCAATGGTAAGTTTGGGTACCAATCTGGAAGGAAAATATCGTGTCGATAATATCGTTTTGCGTAATATCGTGTCGCATAAACTGTATAACAAGTATAAAACTGAGAATAAATATTTTTTTATATATTGATATTCTTTAAATTTATTCTATTATATATATATATATATATATATATATATATATATATATATATATATATATATATATATATATATATATACATCTATTTTTATAAATTGAAGATCTTAAAATCAAAAAGATCACAAAAAAGATGAAGTTCCATGAAAGAGCAACTGGCAAACATCGGATGATGTTGAATTCATGTAACGCCCACGAGTACGCAAAATTTCAATTGCAATCTTCACAAAAGTTTCTTTAGTTTTATGTTTTGGAATATGTAATTTTATTTTTTTGCATTGTAGAGCATAGCTGCTTTCACATTGTGAACTCTCATTCAACAATACTTCTTTGTCACACCCATTCCTATTATCCAAAGAGTCTTTGTCACACCCAACCATATTATCATAAGAGTTTTTGTTATATCCGATCCTATTATCAAAAAAAACCTTCGCACATTCATTAAATAAAGAAGTTCTAACAAAATTAGAGTACGCATTTTCCTCTTCTTTAGTTAAAAAAAAAAGAGAGCCCCCTAATACAAAAAATTGAGCATTGATATCACCATCTAAAAGTTCACCTTTCGAATCAGGAAGAGCAAGAGAACTTTGATTAATTAGAATGCATTGACCGCGACGTAGACGTGGAGCAAACATATGTAATCTTACCCCACGATTCTCTTTTATTGAACGAAAAATTGGAAGTAACTCGTTTGCTTCGAAAGAACTAATTAAAACGTAAGTAGCGGGGCCTAAATGATTCTTATAAGCGACTACTATCACCCAAGAAATTTCAAAGAGAAAATCATCACCACTATCAATATCTTCAATAACCATAGTAAACTCATTTGTTACCATAAAGTTAGGGCTCAAACCATAAACCGGCATCAACTTTGAAATTCGATTTGTATTTTGAAAGACTTTATGAATTGGCAATATCTCAGCATTCTCATTTGTTATTATTCCAGTTTCGACTAAATCTCGAACTTGTTTTGACAATTTTGGTTTATGTGGAGTTTGAGAACCTGGGCGTTCTACTTGACGTTCTTCCTCTAACTCAGCTTCTAGTTCTCTTTCTTGCTCTTCGTCAAGTATATTAGCAAAGCGTTTATATTTAGATACAAATTTATTGATGCGAGAGATAATATCTGCACCACTCATGGTTAATCTTTCCACAATAGTTGCTATATTTTTTTCATTAAATAATTTTACACGTTTGTCTAAACTACTCTGAACAATTTTAGGAATAGATTCTAATGATCGAGATCCTCCGTAAAATTTATTCAAACATATCACTTCCTCTTCAGAACACATGTTACCAAGTTCTTGAAGACTATCTAATGTCACATTATCTAATGTGTTATATTCCGTGGTGCTGTTTTTAAACATAGAATATTCAACGGCTTCCTTTGTGGCGTAGCGTATTCCTTGAGATGACCATTGCAAAAGTCCATCACGAATAGCATTACAGCTGTTTATAAGTGCCCATCGCAGTACATCAACAGCTTCCGGAACTATGTCACATGATTTCATTTGACTTACAATAGATGTGTGGACATCCTTTGAGGCGCAGAAATAAACGCTATGTCCTTTGCCTAGTAATCGCATACGCATGCAGGCTTGAACAAGGCGATTTTTTGTGAGTCCTTTACCCAAGGTAACACAAGCAATGGCGTTCATGGGAAATTTTAAATCTGTTCCCCTGGTATGAACATCATCAAGATATATTACACATTTGTCAAGTGAGTGTAAGTATGGAGAGACTGTAAGTAATGAAGTACGGCCTTTTCTATCACATACCATTAATCTATCTTCCGTGTCTAAATATACTGCAGCATATACTTCAGAAGCTAAAGACATCCTTAGCCACTCTTGAGCAACCTTTTTGTTATCTAACTTCAACATTAAAGCACCTACATCAATCAAAACGCAAGCCTTTGTTTCAATCAGTTTTTTTAAAATACATTCTTCTAATTTTTCTACGCACGAATTTATGTAATAACAGGTTTTATTTTCAGGTTGAAGTAAAAAGCTTAACACCATAGCATTGGTTCCCGAGATTTTAGGTAAATCATTTTGAATAATGGTTAATGGAAGAAGCAATTGTGATTCGTTTGTGCCACTAAAGCCAGTAGTGAAGTTTTTTGATTCAGCTTCAAATTGAGTTTTCAAACATAAATCCCACGCTGACGTTGAAATCTTGAAAGGAAATTGCTTTGCTTCTCGTGGATAAACAACTCGGTTTAGCCAAAAATTTACCACGCTCATACTGTATCTTAATAGAGAATATAAATGCTCTTTTTGCTCAATGCTGTCTAAATTAACACCATTCAATTCATGCAAATAGTTTGGCACTTTATCAATTCCAATGGCTTTTATCCATTGTCCATATGCAACTTCTTTATTTGTGCATTTATCTAAATGTATAAATACTTCATCTAGCTAGCTTTCACTAAGACCACTCATATAGTAACTAATTTGAGTCAAAAGAATAACCATATCAGGATGACCAAACTCAGTTCTTTCCGAGGCAACATCTTTAGCACGGAATGGCACAGCCATTTGTGATGAAGTATTTGATAAGCTAACACCAAAATTAACTCTCCATCGTTTTTGAAGTGCCATATGTAAAACTTCGAAGATAAGTATTCCACGTAAAATTAACAACTCTTCTTTTAAAACATTATTTTTAACAAATAGTTTAGAAAAACGCTTGTTCATCTCTGCGTCACTAATGTCGTTAGAGGTAAGAAATAATCTCGCAAAACTTTTATCACTTCGCTTTAGTTTTGCTGCAACTGAAATTTCTGGAACTTCGTTATTAAGTATTGAATCAACAATTAAGCGACACATGTAATCATACACTTCTTTGTTGTTAGTAAGAAACCTGATATGTGAAAACGAATCGTATCGAGATTTTTCTACATAATGTTCAATACAATCTTCGCCATACTTTTGAAATGTTTTTTCTCCAAATTTATTAACTAATTTTAAAACTGCTTGAGAAATTACCCACATCAGAGCACCACCGTCAAAATGTAACTGTTCACCAAGCGTGTAAACAACCTGGTATTTAACGTTTAATATTTCATCTGCTTCCTCCAAGACATCGCAAATATGTTTTTGATGCCAGCAACGCAACTGGTAAAAATTTAAAGCCTCTTCAGATTTTTTGCGGCAATGTTCCAATGTTTTTAAATTAAGGGATAATCGATGTTCAGGTGTTGTTAGCATCAGCCCACGCCCCAAAAGACACTCTGTGTAGACTCTTAGAATCTTTAAAGGATTAAAGTTTATATCTCTGCGACACGGTACTATGTAAACTCGTCTGTTGAGAAGACCACCAAGTTTATCCACAAGTAATTCAATGTTTGTGTTTAAAAGGGACCGTAACACATTTACTCGAACAACTTTCTCCGATGTAGCTAACGACACTGCAAGTAGAGGAATAACAACACTGGTTTTCCCTTCTCCCATGTTTAATTGTTGAACAAAGTTTTCATAAGCATTTATCATGCTATTAGCAACATCAATCTGAATGGGTCGAATTAAGAAATTTCCCTCAAGCTCAAGAATAAGCCATTAAGGATGAGAAAAAGGAATCCAATTATCATGACCTACGTTAATAACTTCTTGAATGAGAGAAGCACGAAATGTTTTGTTACTTATGTTTTGTTGATGTTTGATGTTTAGTTTAAGACATCTAATAGCTCTCTGTTCGGCTGTCCAAGATACAATTAACGCACCAACGCGATTGATTACACTTTGTGGGACTTCATAATTAGCATCGATTGCAAGTATACATGGAATTATGGTTACGGGGGCTGTTCTTCTCCATATTCCTCCATAAAAAAGAGCATAATCTACATTATCATTGTTTCGTGGCATCATAGAATCTTCCACTTCCTTCCACAAATACCTGGGTTTAGAGTTAGATAAACAACTACGGCATTCGTTAAATATGTTATTATTTTCAAAGTCTATATCATTAAAAAATAGATAATCGTTTTTATAAAAATTATTGCTGTTTTCTAAGGAAATTTTCATAAACTCTAATATATCATCAAAGTTATCATGATCATCCTTTTGGAGAAGAGGCAAAGCTTGGAGAAGAGACAACACTTCCTCAGATTGTTTTTGTTCATAGTATCGCAACAAGTCTTGGTATAGAAGACTGGTACAGAAGAATTTTTTTGAAACAAATTTATTGCATCCTGGCTTTCTTCAAGGTTCTTAATTTCAAGTTTGATTTCATACGCGTTTGAAGAGCAAGGATCAGTACTTCTTGGATTTGATAACGAAAAAGAATCCATTTTATTTAGCAATGTTACATTATCAAATTTAAGAACTGAGTTTGTTACTCGTATTTGGGATTCCACTTCGTTTAAAAAGGACTTAAGCTTACCATTGCTATCCCATCTTAAAAATAATTTCTTCACTTCTTTTTCAGCTGCATTTATATTAATGATATAATCCAACGACATTAATGTTGCAAACATACTATTTTGATTATGATCGATATTGGATACCTTAGTGTTACAGATTGAATGAAAATCTACACTTTTTGTTTCCCATTGTTTTTTAGCAATATCTCCCAAAGTTTTTACTGCATTTTTTTTAAAGTTTTTGTATTTTGTTTTGTTTTCTTTTTTAACGCTTTGAATATTTTCTTTCCTAATTTCTTTCTTAATTACTTTGTTTATTTCTTCTAAATCAAAATCCGTCTGGTTAAGGCACTCGTAATCCCTTACAGACGGAGGCTCTACTTGAATATGCAGAATAGCTACTGCTAAAAGACTAAACAACAAGTCTATGTTTTCGCCTTTAAAAGCTAAAAAAGATAACAAAAAACTAAATTCAAAGCGATCCTCGCGGTTCTCATAAACATTTTGAGCTAATTCGTATAATTGCAAGTAACTGTTTAAAACATCGAAATTTGCAAGTGTAAACATGGTAGATGTTGGAAATACTTGTGGATTTTTTAAACTGTTTTTGGTTTTAATAAGTTCCCATAAATTAGAAGGAATAAAGCTAACGCCATTCCATTGATAATAGTTTTCCATTAATAATCGCGAATCATTATTACTTTGACGGTCATTAGTGTAAGACCATGCCAGCTTTCTTTTTGGAAATCCACCAATAATTTTTTCATTTTCATTGTGCAAATGAGAGCAAGAATTTAACTGTGTTCTGTTACGCCAGTATGCTCTTTTTGTTAGGGTGTTTAGTTCTATTAGGGTGTTTTCTTGTTGTTGTTTTTTTTGTTGCTTTGCTAGTTGTTGTTTTGTTAGAAACAATTCCTTGTACGTATCAGCATGAAAAAGTAAAATATTGGAGGCTAAAACCAAGCCCTCGTAGCCGTAAGTTGAGTGAAGATTTGGGAACCAGGTGACAGATTGTAAACGTTGTGTGTATACATCATTTTGTTTGCGGGTTGGAGAAAGTTTTGAAATTCTTTTTAGAGTATGCAACGCAGTTTGATCTAATGGTCTGCATGAGAAAGTGCGCCCAATCTGCAACAAGCGCATTGACGATTCAGTTCCTGCTAACCTTGTGAATGGATCTGGAAGCGAACTTGAAGTCATTGCATGAAGAAGAGATAGGTAGAGCCAGGCTTCTTGGTTAGCAGGACCGCGGAGTTCACAAAGTCGGTCATCAATATTATAACAAAAATACGGTGGAGAAAATAATTCATTAAGTTTAATTCTCACATTTTGATGATTTGAAATTTCTCTTAATTCTATTGTTTTCGAATGTGGTACAATTAACACTCTTTGTTGGCTATTGATCGATGGTTCATTCTCATTTAACAGAAGACTATTTTCTAGTCCAATAAGTGTTCCAATATTACCTTGTAAGTCAGCGACAATTAAACCCATGTGTTTATTAGAAAATAACTTTCCAGTTTTTATTTCAACTTTAAAGGTTAAATCCATTCTAGGTAGTTCAGCATTAAGATCAAGATCTTCCGGTCCTGTTTTTATTTCCTTTGTTCTATTTGCAATTGTTCATCATCTATTTGCATTTTTTCTTCTTCTGTTTGATACTGTTCATTGTCTACTTGAAATTGTTCTTGTTTTGTTTGAAACCTTTCTTCTTCTTTGTGATTGTTCAAGTTTGTCTTTTTTCCTTCTTCTTTTTGAATTTGAATTTGTTTTTTGAGTTCTTGTTGCAACTTATTATGATTTTTATGTTTATCTACCCACAAGTGAACATATTCTCTAAGTTCAATCCGTTCTAAGCAACTATATATTTTTTTAAAAGTGTTACTATTAATATCAACTAAATATCGATTTCTTTGTAAATCGTATAAAGTGTTTTTCAGCACATTAAATCGATATAAAAAGTGTTCTTCAGATTCAGCTTTAAAAAAATTAACGTCATCAAAAATTAACGTCATCAAAAATTAACGTCATCAAAAATTGGTCGAAAATAAATAACTTTTGTTTTTTTACAGATCCAATGATTTGTTTAAAAAAAAATTTGGGAAAAGTTATTTAAATAAAAAATTTGGGAAAAATACAGTAAAGGCAATCATTTCGTACTCATCACCTGAGTTACGCCTTTCTACAATAACACATCCGTGTTTCCGAACTGAAAATACAAATCTTGATCCTTGAAAATTATGAATACTTATAAATGCAGACATCTGTTCAGCAGATGGTTGCACATCAAAAACATGTTCATCAAAAACTCTTTGGTAGTCAGATGATTTAGTAATGGTATCTGGAAGCCGCCCAACAGGATTACCGTCTACAAGAAATTTGCCACTCAAAATACTAATTTGCAATGTTAATGATGAGTTATTTGAAATAAAAGTATTAAAATACCATTCTTGTGATGGTCGTGGGCACGAAACCCAAGAATTCATGCAAACACCTTTGCAAAAATCTGCCCAATAACTGGAAAGAAATGTTTTGAATATATAGATGTTCTCTGAAGCTAATAATTTCATTGCAACATTTTCAAAACGCAACCCTATAAGTTTTACTCTTCGAAGCAAATTAATTTTCTCTATATCAAAAGAGTCATTGCCCAGAAGAATGTTATCGTGAATTCGAGCAACTGTACGCAGCCATGAAACCAGCGTTTTTTTGTTGATTACATATTCATGACATCTATCAACGTCAAAAGTAAGCGCTGAAAAAGCAGCGACTTCAATTAATTTAAAACGTTTTTCTTGGATTTCATTTGAACTATCTGTCATTATTTTTGAAAGTAACTTTTCGATTTCAATAGCCCATCTTTCAGCAATCTTTCGGCATTGTAACAAGAGTTCAGCAGCTTTAACGCGAATTTCTTCACTTGACAATGAAAATATTCTTAGAGCAATTATAATAACAATATGGAGTTGACTGTGTTTCTTCCAATTTTTACTTATGCTTTTTAAAAATGTAGATAAATATTTTATAAACACGTGACAAAAGCCATCATTTTGAAGATCAGCATGACTTTCAAAAAATAAAACAGGATTATCGATATCATCGTTTTCTATTGTACCATCTTTTTTAATTACAGGCCCCGCTTGCCATAGAGCTTGCGAAAACAAAGCGAAAACAGATGAACAATCAAAACTTAATGAACGCATTTCAATTGCTTTAAGCATTTTCCTAAGTTGTAAACGATGACCAGCACGCAATGAACCAAATGTTATAAATTCATCAAGTTGAAGATCCAAAGGACATTCGATCTTAGATGCTAGAACCTCATTTTCTGTATGAGTTGCCTCTGCAATCCATATCTCGTTAATTTGATATGGTTTGTTCCACGCTTTCATTGTGACAATTTTTTGTTTCAATTGTTTATGCTCAACAAGTTTACATTCAATACTTTTATTTTTATATTGCATAAAGAGTTTAATGGTAAGACCACAAGGTTTAAGAAACTCTCTAACATTGTCACAAAAATTTATATAATGAAATGTAAAGCGGGACCACAAAAGATATGATGCATCACTTCCTATGGAAACTAAAGATTTCGAGCATTCGGAACTGACCCAAGCGTGCAATTGTGGATGAGAACTCCAAGGCTGTCGAATGCAGATATCTTTAAATTGTTTGTTATTCAGTTTTTTATGAATAAAAAACAAAGCATCTCGAAGGCATCGTATGCTGACAGGTATACTTAGTTCAAAGACTATAGCGTTTTGCATCCAAACGCTACCTTCTGGAATTGGGTCTTCATAAAAATAAACTTTTATAGATTTAGCTTCTTTTAATATTTCACATTTGGAGCAACATCTAAAATAGCCATGAGAATTCTCGTCATGTTTTCTTTTTTCATAAATTTCCATCAAATCTCTATATTTTTTGAGACATATTTCAAACTCACTCTTTTTTTCTTCGCGTTTTTTCTCAGCGTACAAAAGAATATCTATTCGTTTTTGTTGCATTTCTTCACTTTCATTGGCTAGTCTTGTTCCAAATGAATTCATATTACGTCATTTGATATAATGCTTGGATAAACGGCTTTTGTGTTTCTTTCTGCAAAATAGTTTCTAACAGAATGTAAATATTTCATGTCTTCAAATAACGGTGTTAGTAAGCTATCGAAGTTTTTTTCTTCAAAACTAGTATGATATTCAGCCAGTAATGGGTTTTTTTGTGTGGCAATAGAATCTAATGCGGCAGTTATGAGAAATAAAGTTAAACTCATGCGACTTAACCCAACCGAATCATTAGCGTATAATTTGATACTTATTTCAAGGTATTTAAAAAACAAATCAAACAGTTGAGAGCTATTTTTAAGAAAATGTGTGGTATGTGGCACAAAATCTTTCCACAACACCAGTCTAACCCAAACCTCAAAATCATAAAGTTTTATTTCTGTTTGGTCATTTTGACTGGTGACTGTTTGGTTATTTTGAGCGGCGTTTATAAGATAGTTTATATCAAATAGAAAGGTTTCATTATTCCAGCGATTAACACATTGAGGATCTTTTACATTTATTTTTGGATTTTCGTCTTCTTTAAATGCTTGATTTATTCGACTAACAGTCAATTCATTCAACTTATGAGTTATATGGTCAAATGGACGAAGCTCTGAAATATTAACCTTTGAAATTTGGGAACAATTTTCAGAGTGTTTATTCCAGCGACTATCTGCTTCTGCTCTTTTTTTTTGCAAAACATTACGTCCATTTTTAAATACAGTTTTAGTCCACTTAATTGTTTGATTAGATAATTCCATATTATTGATGTAATTGTTTCCAAGACCCCTATTGTTTATATAGTTTTTCAGTTTAACCATTCTTCTACTCACCTTGCTCAACATCTGCATAATAATATCATTATCATTAAAAGTGATTGGTAGATTTTCAATAAAACTAGACATGACATGAATCATCAAAGATTTGTAGACAACTGTTCCCTCGTTTTCCCCAAGTTCTTCCACGAGTATTATATGAAGACACATTTAATTGCTAACCATTCTCCAGAGCGGCGCCACGGGTTTGCGAATCCTTTTGCATAAAAAACTTCATGGCGTATTACCTTTTGAACAAGTTTAAAGTTATCATCTCCTTTTATTAATCCAGACATTGCTCCCAACAACCACGAAATAACAAACTTGCAAATTTTTCAGGGTTCAGCAACATCAAAATCATCAGAGTATCTGACACCAGCTTCCGTCTTCCGTTGACGTTTGCTTCCGTCAACGTTTCTCCGAATGTGTGGTTGCACAATATAGCAACTTGTCTAGAAAATGTGTCAGATATAAACCGATCAAATGGAATCCAAACTGCTCTTTCTGGAAAAGTTTGAAACAAATCTCCTTCAGTCAAAACATTTTCATTATTTGGCAAAGCTCTAAACACACTCATAAGAGCATTTTTACCGTGTTCAGATCTTCTAATTGTTATAACAGAATTATAAGCTCGAACAAATACCGCAAATGTTTGACCAGTTTGCAAAGAAACAAGTGCCTCCTTAACTTGAATTTCATTAACTGAGCTACTTTGTATATTTTTCCAAATCTTTATTGTTTTTTGAACAGAGTTTAGACCTGGCATTTCTGCCGGGATGCCCATTTTGGGCATGTTAGGTAAATAATTAAAAGTGAATTGCACTAGCGTTCCAGAGAGATTTGCCTCCTCCTCTGTTTGTGGCAATCGTCGAGTTAAAAATGCATGATGAATGACCATGTCTATTTGGTTAGGATCTTCAATCTGAAAATGTTTACTCTCCATTATCGATTTTTCTAAAATAAATAAAATTACAGGTGGAAATTTTGTTAAAAAGAGTAAAACGTTAACAACATTTAATAAATAAAACAAAGGAGCACTTGGGCACTCGAAGAAGACCATTAGGTTTTGTCACCAAGAACCGCTGAAGTTAAACGTGATAAACAAAGTATCTAACTATTTTTCATATGGATTTTTAAGGAAAACAAGAAGGAAAAGGAAGAATAATCAAATTAATTTGATCCCTGCCCTAACCCTGACCCTTCGATGTGTTATCAACTCCGTTGCGAGTTCTCCCTAAATCATTCGATATATGTATATTAGGGGTGTTCAAAAAAATGAAATAAAAAAATTAGCGAATACACATCAAGCTAAATTTTAAGCAAAAAAAAATTATGATTGGAAAAAAAATTTTTAAAAATATTGAGATTTACCTTGTGCTCAAGGGTCAAAATACCCCCAAAAATGCCACAAGTAGTACCCAAATAATAAGGCTTTGAGCACAATGTAAATCTCAATATTTTTAATTTCTTTTTTCTTCAATGTACTAATAAAGGTCAAAACCTTTTTCACAAATTGATTTGTGTTCTGGATGTATCGTAATTTTTGTTTAAGTTAAAAAGGATTTTGAAGAAAAATACGCAAAATTTGTTTTATAAGACTTTAGCGTATTTTTTAACAAAAAAACAAAACAAAAAATGCGTGTTATAATCTTTCTTCTTTTTAAAATCGTTTCAATTTTTCTCACTTTATAAACTTTTATTTCAACCTATTTAAAATAAAATAGAATAATAAAAGTCATTTAAAGAAAACCCAGACAATTGTAATATTAATATATATTGTATATTAATACAAATTTTAGTATTGTCTCATATTTAAAAATAAATAAATAAAATACGTTAAAAATAAAATGGAAAGTTTATTAGATGATTTGATACAAAATAATAAAAAGTTTAATAAAAAAAGTTGCGAATGGAAATAGTGAGATTTAAAAATTTATTATTGCCAAAGTCAAACAGCCATATCAGCTAATAAACTTGTTATAAACTTTTTTAAATTTCAATAAGACTTTACTTTGTACAGGAACAGTGCTGTGGCTAGAGAGTCAGTTGCCTCACCCAAAACATGTCATTAGACCCCATAATCTTAAAAAACCTCTTATCGAAAAGTTTTTAAAGTGGAAAAAAGTCTTTAAAAATTGTTGTTCTTCCTCGTTTGCGGGGCGTGGGAAGCCTATACACTAGCCCTGCATAGGATCAACCTGATTTTTTTGTTATCACTTTTAATTGAATAACTTCCAACAAGATTATTCACCATATCAGCCTAAAACATGAAAGCGTGACTAAACTTTTTATTCACTCTGCGAATCCTTTAATAAGAAAGAAAGTTGGACGCTTTAGTCTTCTAATTACTGAAAAGGATGCTTTAGTATACTATAAATAGTGTAGTGCGGTGGCGTACGGATCTGAGTCACTATCCCGGGCAGCACATTTATCAGGCATCACTGGACAATTAAAAAATACTGAAAGTATTTTATTACTCTTATTATTTTTATTTTAGTGGTAGGGTGGGGGGAATTCAGTAAATTTTAAATGATCTACCCCGGGCATAATGAAGTTTTTTTGCGCCCCTGGTGTAGTGTTTAGCTTTTTCCTTTGATTTTATTCAAAACAAAGTTTACCAATTAAAGGTAATCAGCTGATAAATACAAGATATGCTCTTTAACCAGGAAATAAAAGCGCACTTGGAATGAACAAGTGTATATATTCCGAAATGATCAATAACATTTTTAAAGTTATTTAGCTTGCTATGGATCATTAGTAAAGTATTACATCACTTTGTTAATAATACTTAGCTATTACAACAGCCATTAACATAGATGGATAGCAGAGCGGATAGCGCTATGACTTATGAAGCCGGAATTCAGTGTTCATAACTATTTTTAATTGATGCGGCACGTTGATTAAGAGCATCTGCAGAGAGCATAGAACCAAAGATCCATTTAATGTGAGTTCTGGGTATATTGTCCAACATCAGTAGAGAAAGAGGCGTAAGTTTTGTTGTAAAATGCCCTTACTCTGTGCTCTGTGATAAAATTATTTCTAGATTAGAACTATTAAAACCTTTTTTTGGTAATATAACTATATACAATGTTGAATCAAATACTAAATTATTATGTTTCTATACAACAACAAGCAAAACAGAAAATCATAAACTCCAATAAGAATATTTACTGCGCTAAATAAGTATATAATTCGCTTAACTTGCAGGCATCATGTGGCTAATTTCAAATACACATGGTATCAAGACTCAACTCTGATTCTTTTAGATTTAATGGATGATGGCGTTGTACTTAAAAAAAAAATGCAGCAGCATTTCCGAAACCAAATTCCTACTACTTTTAAACAAAAAATAAAGATGCTGAGAAAAGTTATAAAAAAAGTGATAACATTTGAACTACGTAATTATGAGCAACCTATATTCGACTTTATGGTTTATTTTTAACCTGTTTGAATAGAGGAACAACAAATTGGGGACTAGTTAACCTTGCCACATGTGCATTGTGTTACACGCAATCATCATAGAAATTGTTTCTAAACTTTGCCAAAAGTATTGTTTGTATAACTATGTGGGCAAAGTCAAAAACTGATAAAAAAATACAAAGTGCAAAGGTGAAGGGGGAGGCAGAGCGGTTTTTGAAGGGCAATGATATGCCCCCCCCCCCCAACTTTTGAAATTGCTCTGCTGCAAACGAGCAAAGATTGCTTTATTCTTTAGGAATTTGACAACGAATTGTTTTTAATTAAGAATACTATTGACCAAGTATAAAACAAGATTCAAAAAAGAACTATAGTTGCTGAACATACTTACAGCAAACGCTTCAAAATTCCAAAGATAATTTGAATCTTTGTATTAGTTTAAAAAAAGCTGAAATTTGCAAATAATTCAAAAAATTGAATCCTTTACTAGACTTAAAAAAAATTTCTAAAATAAAAATTTAAATGAAATAATTTGTATTATGACATCGAACAATGTGATTTTATGTAAAGATGTAAAAATATTTAACACTGTTTTCTTAATTTTTTCTAAAAAATCCTTTTTAATTTAAACAAAAATTACGATAAATCCAGAATACACATAAATTTCTAAAAAAAAATTGGACCATTATTAGTACATTAAAAAAAAAAAAAAAAAAAAATTGAGATTTACCTTGTGCTCAAAGCCTTATTATTTCGGTACAATTTGGGGCAATACTTTTTTTTTTCTTTTTTTGAAATTTTTTTTTCCAATCATATTTTTTTTATATTTGCTTCAAATTTAGTTTTATGCGCATTCGCATTTTCGATATTTCATTATTTTGAACACCCCTAATGTATATATATATATATATATATATATATATATATATATATATATATATATATATATATATATATATATATATATATATATATATATATATATATATATATATATATATATATATATATATATATATATATAATATATATATATATATATAGTATATTATAAAGTAGGCCAATATTTCTAGAGATTTTACCTTCAAGATAATGTATATGACCTTTCCAAGTTACTTTTTCGTCTAGGAGTACGCCTAGAAATTTTAACGAGCGTTCTCTTTTTATAGCTTGACTGCCAATACAGAGTATTGGAAGTTTTAAGGGTATTTTATCGCGTTCATGAAGGCGATGGAAAAACGTATAGTTTGTTTTTGTTAAATTAATTGATAATTTATTTGCATTAAGCCATTCTGTAAGTTTTAAGAGTTCCATATTAACTGAATTAAGCAAACATTTTATATCATGGTGAGAAACATATAAGATGGCGTCTAGTAAATTACAAGAACTACTTAAGTCATTAATATAAATTAAAAATAAGAGTGGTCCTGTAATTGATCCTTGGGGAACCCCGCAGTTTATATTCATACTATCAGTTTCTCCGTAGCTATAAGAAATGTATTGTTTTCTATTTGACAAATAGCTTTGAAACCATTTAATATTCGAATTTTTAACCCCATAACCTTCTAGTTTATTTAAGAGAATATAATGATCAACAGTGCCAAATGCTTTGCTAAGATCAATGAATACACCTAACGTATATTTATTTTCGTCGAATGCCTGAAAAATATTTTGAACAAGATGAATAACTGCTTGATCAGTGGAGTGGTTCTTTTTAAATCCGAATTGTTTATTATAGAGAATATTGTTATTTTCTAAAAAGAGAAATAGTCGGTGATACATAATGTATTCTAACAGTTTAGAAAAGCATGATAATAATGAGATTGGTCTGTAATTGGATACGCTTGTAACCTCTCCCGATTTGAATACCGGGACCACCATTGCAAGTTTAAATTCATCAGGAAAGATTCCCTGTTTCAGATACATATTAAAAATATGCATGAGCGGAGATTTTAAATAAGAAATTGATTTTATTATTACATTGCTGCAAATATCGTCGACGCCTAGACCTTTGTTTAGTTTTAAAAAAGAGGCAGCATGAAAAAAAATTTTTTCAGTAAATTTATTGTTTTCTATTATGGTATTATTAGCGATTACGTATGATTTACAATCAAATTTACTAACTTTAATTTTTGATGCTAAATTTGCGCCTGAGTTAACAAACGCATGGTTAAGCGACTGAGCAATTAAAGATTCATTAACAATTTTGCAGTCATTTATAATGAGTTTTTTTTGACTATTACAATTTGTATTTATTTTACCGATGACGTCTTTAATTATGCGCCATGTTTTTTGAGAATTGTTTTTAAACTTTATTAATAGATTAGATTTTTTGAAAACTTTATAAATGATTCAAAAAGTCGTTTGTAATTTTTGTAATTTGACTCATTTTCAAAAGTTCTTTTTTTAATAAATTTTTCATAGAAGCGTTGTTTTTTTTGGATGATTTTATGATACCCGGTGTTATCCAAGGATTTTTTATTGTTTTTTCTTTAATAAGTTTTATAATTTTTAGAAATGCTTTACTATAGTGATTT